TCCCTAGAAAGTGAAATCTGCATAGCAACAGTACTGACATCAGCTGTTGCATCTTGATTGGGCATACTGGCCAGTGTCTATCCTGATTGGTCACTGCCCTTTTGCCCGGAGTGTGTTGGCCAATACCAGCAAACTTGGGCTCTGGTTCAGTGACTTCCAGGGGTAGGAGAGAGAAATTCAGGCCACTGCTGCCCTAAGTGGGGAGTATTACAGAAGACCCTCCTCCCCACCTTAGACAGCAAACCTAAGGGGTCATCCTTTTAGGGTAGGAATTAATACAAATTAACCCCATTCCCCTTCCTTCCCCAGACCTCAGGGAACCAGAGGAAGGACTGGTTGTGATGCCAAGAGGAGTAAAACAAACATGGGGGAAAATGGATCCTGAGAAGTCCGAGACTCTGTGATGGAGAGAGTCAGGTTTGGAGAGCCTCCTAGGGGTAATGTCTGAACCTAACTCCTCTCTACTTGGGCTCACCACGTGCAAGATCTTGAAGAACTCCACAGCACCCTTTAGGGGAGCGGCACACAGTGAAAGACAACCAAGAAGCTGGGCACAGTGGCACACACCTGTAACCCCACCACTATGGGAGGCTGAGGCAGGTGGATTGCGATTTCAAGTCCTACCTGAGCAACTTAAAACAATCTTGAAAAAGGCTGGAGACGCAGCTCAGTGTGAAAGTCGTAGGTTCAATTCTTGGGGTGGGAGGAGAGGGGAGAAGGGAGAGAGGAAAGAGTGATCTCAAGAGCACAAAGAAATTGTGCACCATAGGCAGCAGATACTGGGTTGTCATCAGTGGTGTCAGGCACTTGTCCCGACAGCCCCCGAATCCTGTAGCTAGGCAGGACCATATGATCATTGGTACTTCCTGAGAAGTATCCATTTCGGTTTTTTGGTTTTTTTTTTTAGTATAACATTCAATTTATTTCTTTCTCAAGAGAGTTTTCGGGGGACCGGGGAGATGGCTCAGTGGAATAAGCACTTCCGTGGCAAGTGCATAGGGCCTGAGTTCAATCCCCGGTTCCGAAAAAAAACAAAGAGAGAGTTTTCTTCAGTCCATTAAGACCCAGCTCACCTTACATAGGCTTTAATGGAGGTCGTGGGGCAGCACCAGCAGCGTGGAGGAGTTCGGTCCTTGTGGGCTTCACGAGATCGATTTGACCACTTTGCTGTGAATGGCACAACTCACACCATAATGCAGCTTCACATACAGCTTGGGAAGCACATAACCATCGAAGACACTTGCTTCGGAGATGTCCCTGATGGTAGCAGCCCTCACTATGTTCCAAATGACAAACTTAATAGCCTTATCCTTGGGTACGCACCAGGCACAGTTTTTGCAGCCAATAGACTGCACATGACCATGGCCCTTTTTGGCATGACCGTTGTTCCTTCTTTTTTTTCGTCATCTTGGAAAAGAGGACCCAAAAGAGAAGTATTCATTTCAGCTGGCTTCTTTTTTGAATGGGTCTTTTATTGGAGAGAGCCTAAGTTTTTGAGTCCTTTCTATAATTGTAGATACTTATCCTCTGAGGAGTAGCTGCCAATTTTTTTTCCCATTCTGTAGGTTGTCTCTTTATTGTTTCCTTTGCTATGCAGCTTTTTAATTTTATATAATTCTATTTATTGATTCTTGATGCCATTTTTCATGCAATTGAGGTTCTGTTCAAAGTCTTTCCCATGCCTATGCTGTCAAGTTTTACCTATTTTATTTTCCAGTAGATTACAGTGTTTCTGTTTTACTATGTATTTGGTGCATTTCATTTTAGTACTTGGTGAGAGACGTGGGTCTGATTGAGTCTCCTGCTTGTGGATAGCCAGTTTCCCCAGTACTATTTGCTAGACTGTCTTTGCTTCAGCCTATATTTTTGGTCCCTTTGTCAAAGATCAGTAGCTGGGTGTGGTGGTATATGCTTGTAATCCCAGCATTCAGGAGGATCACTGCAAATTCAAGGCAAGCCTGGGTTAGTTGTGAAGCTCCAGTTCAGGCTGGCCTTAAACTATGTAGTCTACACTCACCTTAAACTCCTAATATCCTCCTGCCTCAGCCCTCCAAGTGCTTGTATTACAGGCGTGCACCACAGCAGGCAAGAGCTTGTCTCAAAGAAAAACAAAAGTCTGATGGTTGAATGTGCCTGAGGCTATTCCTGCATGCCTATTCTGTTCCATTGATCCACATTCTTTTTTTCTGTTTAGTACCACACTTTTTATCACTGTAGCTTTGGAATATAACTTGAAAATCTAGGATTGTCATGCTGCCTGTTTTGCTCTTACTGCCTAGGATTTTTCTCGCTATTCCAGGTCTCTTCTGATTCCATATGAATTTGAGAACATCTTTTTCTAATTCTATGAGGAATGCTGTTGGTATTTTGATTGGGACTGCATTATCCTTCAGTTCTGGTGGTATGACCATTTGTACAATATTGGTTCCACCTACCCAGGCATAGTGGGATGCTCCCTTTTTCTGATGTCTTCTAGCTCCTTTTTCAGACTACTGTAGTTTTTGTTATAGAGTTCTCCCACTTTCTTGGGAGAAAGTTTCTTGGCAGGCTAATTCCTTTTTTTTTTTTTTTTTTGGCAGAACCAGGGATTGAACTCAGGCTCTTGTGCTTGCCAGGGAAGCACTTATTCTCCTGAACCATCTCCCCAGCCCAGGCTAATTCCTAAGTATTTAATCTTTCTTGAAGCTACTGTAAATGGTATTGTTTTCCTAATTTCTTTCTCAGTGCGATTATTGCTATATAGGAACACTATATATATATATATATATATATATATATATATATATATATGTATCCCGCTGTGGCTTTGCTAATTAGTGATGCTAAGCATCTTTTCATATATCAATGTCTTCTTTGGGACAAAAAAAAGTCTGCTTATTTTTTAATCAGATTGTTTCTTCTTGCCGAGTTATACAAATTCCTTATACATTTGAACATTAAAACCTCTTATTATTTGTAAAACTATGGTTTCTAAATATACTCTCCTATACCCTTGACCGCGTCTTCATTTTGCTGCTTCCTTAGCAGTCAGATGCTGTTTAGACTGATGTAGTCCACTGGTAGGTTTTGTTTTTGCAGTCGATGTCATGTCCAGAAAACCCAATACCAAGACCAGCATCAAGGACATCTTTTTTCCCTGTTTTTCTTCTGCTTTGTTTCAGTAGTACTGGGGATCGAAACCAGATCCTTATCACTGAGGATATACAAGACTTTTTTTCATTTTTTGAGACAGGGCCTTGCTGAGTCACTAAGTAGGATTTAACTTGTGAATTTCCTGCCTCAGCTTCCCGGAATGCTGTAATGATAGGCACATGCTACCACCCTGTGTTTTCTTTTAGGAGTTTTATGGTTCCCAACTTATTCAGCCAATATTAACCTCATACCAAAATCAGATAAGGACACTACAAAAGAAAATTATAGGTCAATACCCCTGATGAACATAGATTAAAAAAAAAAATCCACAATTAAATATGAGCCAAAAGAATTCAACAGCATATTAAAAGGATCATGGGAAATTATCAAGTGGATTTATTTCTGGGATGCAAGTTCAGTTTAACACATACAAATCAACAAATGTGATACACGTACTCAATGTCAAGGCCACGCCCATAACCAACACCATACTTGACAGTAAAAAGCTGAAGCTTTTGCTATGAGATCAGGTGTAGGACAAGGTGTCCACTCACACCACTTCTGCCCCATGATGGCAGAAAATGCAGCAAGAATGACTAAGAAGAAAAAGCAAAGATATCAAACCAGAGAAGAGAAAAATAAAATCTGCTGTTTTGAGATGACATGATTTTCTATAGAGAAAACACTTAAGACTCAACCAAAACACTGGATCAGTGAATTTAGTAAATTTGCAGGACCGGAAAAAAAAAAAAAAAAAAAAAAAGTAGAAATATCAGAAGTGTTTCTATACACTAGTGACAAACTATCTGAAAAACAAATGAAGAAAGTGATTCTGTTTCAACCAAAAAGAAGTAAGAGTTAAGATGCGCATGTAACCAAGTGAATGTAATCATTATGTACTGTAAACATGTACCAACAAAAACTGAAATAAAAATATATAATTAAGAAAAACTATCCCATTTATAATAACGAACACTATAATCTGTAATCCCAGCCATGCAGCAGGCTGAGGCAGAAAGATCTCAAGTTTGACCCCAGCCTGGTCAACTTAGCAAGATCCTGTCTTTTTTTTTTTTTTTTTTTTTTGCGGAACCGGGGATTGAACTCAGACCCTTGCGCTTGCCATGGAAGCCCTTATTCTACTAAGCCACCTCCCTGGCCCTCTGAGCCATCTCCCTGGCCCCAAGATCCTGTCTTAAAATAAAAAGAGCTAGGGCTGTTATCTGAGTGGTAGAGCACCCCTGATTTCAATCCTCAGTTACACACATACAGACATACAAAGAAAAGGAAAACAGAATAAAGTACTTAGGAATGAATTTAAGAAGATGAAAATCCTGCACACTGAAAATGCTAAGACATGGATGAAGGAAACGAACACGGACACAAATAGATTAAATATGTCCTGAGTTCCAGGGTTGAGATCAGTAACAGTGTCAAAATGGCCACACTCCCTAGAGTGTCCTTCAGACTCAATGTCTTTCTATAAAAATCTCAAACAGTGTATTTTAACAGCAATAGAAAGAGCAATCCCAAAGTTCATATGGAACTAAAAAGACCCCAATAACAGAACAATTCTGAGGAAGGAAAGCAGAAGCTGCAGGCACCATATTGCCTGATGTCACTGTCTACTACAGAAGTAGAGCAACTCCCTCAGTGTAGGATGACACACTGAGCAGGGGACAAGCAGGGACCCTCCCTCCGAGGGGTCATGGATCTACCAAGGGGCATACCGAGCACACATGGTGTGTGTGGACTCTGTGAATGGGAAGGGGGACAGCTGACAGCATATGCAGAACAAAACCATGACTTGGGCTTAAGCCCCAGGCAAAACTGACTTGGAATGTTTTAAGTAGAAAATGAGCTATTTCTTTTAATAATTCGTCAAGATGTAGGGTTTTCTCATCTGTTGAGGGAGGGGGTCCCTTATGCAGCCAGTCCTGGCTGAGCCCAAAGGTGTGTGGCCTCAGTAGCAGTCAGCCACATTCTCCTCCAGCACAGCCACCGTGGCCAGCACGTCTTGTAGGAGCGACTGGGGGCTCTTTTCCACGTGGTCGCTGCTCTCAGCCAGCCTGCTCTGGAGGCCCTCCAGGTCCATGGACCTTAAGGCGGCCAGCACCTCCTTGGGCTCCAGAGTGCTCAGGGGCTGGCCCTGCTCGCCTGCCTGCCACCTCTGTAGGGTAGCCTCCACAGACGTCACATCAGAGCTCTCCCCAGGCTCCTGCAGGCCACTGCAGGGAGCAGTCTTGTCCTTCAGAAAGAGGAGGAGGTCACAAGCCTTTTGGGCCACAGGTCGATCACAGTCAAACAAAGCACGAAAGGCAAAGTCAAAGACCTGCAGTTGGCAGAGGGTTCGAAGCACCTCAGGAAGTGGGCTGGGTGGGGAGGCCTTGGGCAGGGTTACCACATAGGGACAGTGAGGGCTGGACTGCCCCAGTGTCTGGGCCAGGAACACCTGCACCAGCTCTAGCCCCTGTGCCCGGACTTCCCAGTCCAGGTCCCGGCTCACCATCGGGAGCACAGTAGCTACAAACCACTCTGTGTCCCGGGCCACATCTGCATGGCTGTCCCTCAGCCATTCAGTGAAGACTCGAGCAACTGCCCTTCGCGGGAAGCCCTCTGAATCCACAGAGAGGATATGCAGGAGCTCCCCAACCAGGCCCTGCAGACAGAGTGGGGAAGGTCAGTGGGACGGGGACTGAGCAGCTCAGGGATGTGAGCACACAGGGCTGGGTTACCAGCTTGGGCAGCAAGCTGCTCAGCTCCATCATGTGTGCCCTGGCAGCCCTGTGCTTGCCCTCCTGTAAATGGGTTCACCACGTACTTCCAAGGTTACTTCTATGAACTCTGCCCCAGACGAACCCCTCCCTAAGTAGCTATCCGGACCTGGCTGGCCCCCCACCCACTGCACCAGCCCACACAGCCTTCCAGGGTAGATGGAGGACTTTATTCCCTTCTATATACACCATCTTCTCCTACCTGCTGGACTTCCAGATGCCCAGAGCTTTCGGATGCAGCCTGCAGGCCCTGGCTGGAGAGCCGCCCCATGGCTGTCACTGCACTTGCACGAACATAACTCTCAGGGTCTCGGAGAAGCTGCCAGGTGAGCTTGGGTACCTCAGAAGCAAGGAGCACCTCCCTGAAGTCAGCCTCTCCTGGGCATCAAAGGGCAAAGGAGCTGTGATCACTACTGCTAGGACAGCTCAGGTGCCCAGCACAACCCTCACCCCTGGCACCTACCTCCCCAGCAGGCAGTCAGGTGTGTAAGGAACTCCAGCGCCGAGTCCCTCACCTCCCAGCAGGGGCTGCACAGGCGCTTCTGCAGCACAGGGAATAGCTCTGGGCCAGGAAGGGGTGGTTAGAGCGGTCCTTGGACCACTTTTCCTTGTCCTCAGCCCCAGCTGCCTCCACCCTATGGCTGGACTCAGGGCATCCCACAAGGGGCCAGGGTTACCTTTGAGGAACAGGGGGGCAGGTAGGCCAAGGTCCAAAGAACTGGGAGGCAAGGAAGAATCCAGGAGCCACCTCAGTGTGGCCTGGAAGGCCTTCTTCAGAACCTGCAGTGGGCGAGTGGGTAAGTGGGTTACAGAGCAGGAAGGTGAGGTCTCCACCTCACCCACAACTTACCCCAGGGGACAACAGGGAGAGCCCTTGTCAGGTGCCCTGCCTGAGTTGCACTAAGACATGACAAGCTGTCTGGGGCACCTCTCCCTTAGGGCTCAAGAATCCCCCGGGCCCTTCCCCAGAACCCTGTGGCACATGGCACTAAGTCTGTAACCAATGGAATAGGCACATTTGTAGGAATTTGGATCCCAAGCATAGTGGCCACCCTTGCTCAATTCCCTTCTGGAATTCACCACGGGATGAATGGATTGTCCCCACTCACAAGTCCCCACATGTAAGCCCCTGGGACCCAGGCATCTGCCTAATTTCCAGGTCCACTTTAAGTGGCAGCTCTGGGGCCTCGGGGAAGGCCCCATGCCAAGAGGCTGTGTCAGAAAGAGACTGGCTCTGCCTCCCAGGGCCTATCCCTGTACCGTTGGGCTAGAGGCAGGGCTCTCGAGGGTCTCCAAGAGGACAGCAAACACCTGCAGCATCAGCTCCTGGGAGGCTGAGACACACATGAACAGATAAGTCACCCCGAGGGCCCCCTTCCAGCAGGAACTCTGCAATCCAGCCTTGGGGAAGAGGGAAGGCAGCTGAGCACAAGGACTCAAAGCTCCCAGTAACCTCCAGAGGAAGTGGGCCAGTCCACCAACACCACAGTCACTCACTTGCTCCCTGAGACAGTGTCCCTAGGAAGTCAAGGGCTGCTCGCTGGACCCGAACACAGCCTGCCAGGGCCCCACAGAGGCGGCCCCCTTCACTGGAGCTGGGGGCCACTGAGCCTTCACAGAGCTTCAGGATGATAACCGCGGCTTCCACGAGAAGTGTCTGGGGCCAGTGCAAGGGGCGCTGAGGCTGCAGGAGGAGGGGAGGGTCAGCAGAGGTCACGGTCCTGGTGTCTATCTGGCACAGGTGGGGCCACACCTACCAGTGGTTGCAGCTCCTCCAGGTGGGCCAGGGTCTGGCACAAGAGCCCCACACAGGCCGACTTGGAGGACAGGAGTGTGTCCACTGTCATGGAGCTGCCTTCAGTGGTCTCATCCAGCACGCCTGCAGGCAAAATAGGCACAGCTCCCTTGTGGTGGTCACTGCCCCAAGTACAGGCCAGGTCCCAAGAGTTCAGGGCTGTGGCACCTACATCCCAACCACCTTCATTCTAGGTGGGAAACTGGGGTGAGTAAAGCAGGGGTCACAAGCAGGGCACCTGCGGCCAGAGACCCAAGTTTTACCCTCCCACACCACTCTGTACCTGGGGGTCCAGGGGCCTGAGCAGTGGCTCTCAGGATGCAGACTAGGGGCTGGAGGAGGACCCCGAAGGCCTGGGATCTCAGTGCCTGTGGACTGTGGACACAGGACACACATGAGGGTTGTTGCACTGGCCTGAGGCAGGCTGGTTGCACACCTAACATCCCTATCAAGTCTAGGGCAGATCAGCACAAGCTGGGCACTGGACCCCTCCTGACAAGCAGCTTCTATGCAGAGGGGCTTCTGGATGGAAAACAAGCCTGATGAGTTGTTGTTTTTCTGGTGACTTCCGGGTGCCTTAAGGGCAGGTCTGGTACCGCTTCTGGAGCTGGGAATCGAACCACGGTCCTATGTGCCTGCCTGCAGTGCTTTAAACAACTGAGCTAAGTGGCAAAGCCACAAGCCTGATGAAGGCTCAGGACTCAGCCAGCATCCAGTCACTGGGTTTCTGGAACTCAGAAAGGGATGGTCACACTCACCCAGAGGGGATATGACTGCTCAGGGTGATAGGGAATTCCTAGTTCCCAGTATCCAGGCATGTTTTGTGTTGTCATTTATGCACAGTATTCTGAGATGACCTTCTTTTTTTTTTTTTTGGTGATACTAGGGAATGAACCCAGGACCTTCACACCAACCTACATCTTTAACCCATCTTTAACTTTTTATTTTGAGACATTCTCATTTAAATTGTTCAAAGTGGGCTCAAATTTGTGAAGACTGAAATTACAAGGATGCACTACACCTGGCTCTGAGATATTCTTTCTCATGCTGTGTGATGGGCCTACCCTATGGTCTAGGCCCTGGGATCAGAGGGGAGGCTGTATTAATACAGAGAACTGAGGGCAGAATGCCTGGTCTCTTGTTGCCCCTGTCCACTCTCCCTGAGCACATGGAGGACAGCCCAAAGCCATCCCCTCCAGGGACATGCTCAGGCCACTTCTATTTCCCAAATGTATACCAACCAGGACCCCAGAAGGCCTTCCATATCCTTCCTCTCCCCAACCCATGGCCCACCCTGTGGTGTTCAGGTACCCATGGGGCTCCAGAACTCATGGAAGTGTCTAAGGACTGAGGGTGGATTCTGGTTTCAGCCTGTCTTGAGCAGAGGGGATACAAGAATAAGCTTTGTTTCTTGGGATCCCATGAGGCTTCTAAAATAAGTCTTTGGTCACTTAAGAAAGCCAGCCGGCACCAACACCTGGGCTGCCCATCATACTGCTCAGCCTTGCCCAGCTTCTTTCCCCAAAGTCCCATGACAAGTGAAACACTCCCAGAGCCCCACATGAATGAAAGCAACTCAATTATACCAGTTCTGAAGTTTCAGAGTCCCTAAGGCCAGAGGCCCAGCTTGTGAGGGGCTGAGGCAGCTCAGCATCCGGGCCGTAGTCTCCCATAGGCCACAGTCTGCAGAAGCAAACACAGGAGAACTGCAGGAAGGACCCAAGAGACAAAAATCACTCTGCTATCCCACAAAGGTCCTGCCACGACCAGCAGGGAATGCCATGGCCCCTGCTGGAGGTGCCTATCCTAGTGGATGGCCTTTCCCTGGGCAAGGGGTCCTCCTCAGAAACGCTCCCATCGGGGAAGCATTTTTAGAGGGCTTATTCTGCCTGTCTGCCAATGATGCACACCCAGGCACAGCTACTGCTCTGAGACTTCCTGGGATCATCACCACCCACCTTGAGCCCCCCACCGCCATGTCCCGAGGACCTGACCGGGCCACACTGAGGAGGAGGTCCACCAGCGAGTGTGCAGCTGGGATGGGTTCATTCTCCAGCAGATGGGCTACCAGGGGACCCAGCTGCCCCCAGAGGACCTCTGTCCAGGGGTTGTGGCAGCGCCCAAAGGTGGTGGTGAGGACGTTCAGGGCCTGAGTGACTTGTGGGGCAGCTGTGGAACACAAGCACGCTTCTACATGGTCCACAATCTTCTGGGCACATGCGGGCCAGGCACTGCCTTGCAGGCTGGAGGATCCTGCAGCCTTGCCTTGCATGGACAAAGCCAGGATGTGCACCAGGAGCTGACTGGCAGCAGAGGCCACAAACAGGCTTGAGTCTCCCTGCAGGGAGAAGAGGGCATCAACCGCACCTGGGGACCAAAGGAAGGGTAAAATGGGAAACAACCCAAACAGAATGAAGGACAGAGAACCACTTTAACCACACCCCCTGGAGTCTCTGCAGGAGATGGAGAGAGGTAATGGACAGAAGGCACCCGCAGGGTCCCCAGTCAGCTCGCTCAGAAGCAGCCAGACCTGGGGATGAGTAGGCCACCAACCCGAGTTGAAACCAAGGGATCTCCTGATTCCTTCTACCCAGTTTAAAGGACTGACTCCATGTGGCCTGTGTGTGAGCAACTTAGTGAGCACTCAGCTCCCAGGGCCCAGCAGGGCAGCCAGGGCCAGGATCACCACCGCAGTTACCCATGAGCACACAGCAGCAGACCTGGGCTGTGATCATCACCCCCACAGCTGAGAGGACCAGGGTCTACAGGTATAGGGGCTTCCCGGGTTCCCACAGCAACAGGCACTCACCACTGTCCCCCAGGAAGTGCAGGGCACTGGGGTGCTGTGCCAGGGATCTTAGGCCCCGGATCCAGCCACTGCGTACGATGGGGACACTCCAGGCAGCCCAGCTGAGGGGTCCTGCCTCCCCAAAGAGCCCCAGCAACAACTGTCCCTGCTGGGAAGCAAAGGAAGATGGCATCTGAGCAGGTTTCTGGGATATGGGGCAGATGGAAAACAGATGTCTCTGAAGACACAGCTGTGCGTTTAAGTAGGGGTGGCTTTTGTGCCAGTGAGTAGGGCCTGGCACTGCCAGGTCCACTTTGCAGGGCAAGGCCTTCAGGGAAGAAACTGGGTTTCAAAGGAGGTCTCTTCACTCCTGTAACTCCCACAACCTCACCCCAGCTTTCCCTTCACATATCCATCCCACAGCCTCTGGGCCAAGACTGCACACACCTCCTTTCCAGATGTCCCCCACCCCAACTTTCCAACCTATGGATGCTCCCTACTCCAAGTCAGTCAGCTGTGCCTAACTCCCACAAGCACATACTACTCCTGAACCTATTCAGACTGTTCATAGTCCTGGCTCCCAGCCATTTTCCCCATGACGTCCCTGTGGAGTCACCACCCGCCAAGGACCTTGCAGGCTGTCACCACATTGCTCTCCTCAGGTGGGGGAGTCCCATCCCCACTAGATAGCGGGGTTTTTTTTTGTTTGTTTGTTTTTTTGCAGAACCAGGGATTGAACTCAGGCCCTTGTGCTTGCCAGGGAAGCGCTTATTCTACTGAGCCATCCCCACTACATACCCATAGCCCTGAGGTACCCCTGATCCTGACGGCCAGAAAATCATTCCCTGCACCTTGGCAGGCCTGATTAACTTCAGAAATGGCAGCCAGCACTGTTCCCGGTGTGGGCCAGGCCTCAGGTAGCGGCATCAGCTACAGCCTAGCCTCCTGGGGTGGGAAACCTGTCCCCTACTGCAGGCTCTAGGGGCATATCACAGTCTCAGGATGCAGGCTCTGCCTTTGCAAAGTAGCTCCTGTCTCACATCCCTCTTGGTCCTTTCCTCTCCAACCCTGGCATGGTATGGCTCATCACTACATGGCATATGTATACATTCAGACCTCACTCCAACCTCAGCCAAGGGGTGCTGCTGCTGGCTGCTCAAAAGGGAGCCCCTTCCTTGAAGTTCCAACTTTCCTGGGTGCAACTCCTCGCCACATATGCACAGGTACAGCTACCAGTCCTGCCCTACAAATTCAGCCAATGCTGAGCAGCTGCCAAAGTCCTCGCTATCAGGTCACTAGGTCAGGGTAGGGGGCAAGGGTACCAGAGGCCTAACTTCTGCCGCAGGCTAGGAGGGGACCGGGTGCCTTATCCTTAAACGTAGTAGACCCACTAAGCTACCCCTCAAGAGCGGTGAAACCCCATGCACTGTGAGCCTCAGGAGGAGACAGAAAAGCACAAGAAACTGAGGAGGGAGAAATGGTAGAGTAATGAACCTGCTTGATCTGGACTCCATTCTCAGCATCATAAAAAAAAAAGAACAGGAGCTGGGAGATGGCTCAGTAGAATAAGCGCTTCCCCGGCAAGCACAAGGACCTTAGTTCAATCTCCAGTTCCACCAAAAAAAAAAAAAAAAAAAAGAAAAAGAAAGAAAGAAAACAGAACACCTGCGACTGAAAATCCACTTTGGAGAACACATTGCTCTTCAGGGCCCTGCATGGATTCCCCAGCTCTGTGGCACCCCCAGATTGGGCCCTGGATGTCACCTCCTCAAGTAGAAGACTGTGGATGAGTGGGTGAGTTACAGAAGTCACTCTACAAACCCTGCAGTGCTCTGCATAGACACAGGCAGATCATAAGCAAGAACAGCAGCAGAGTCATGCCCTGAAATGCACTTCATGGCAGTCAGGGTGCTCAGAATATCCTGGAAAGTCCACCTGCAGCTGCTAAATGGAGGTCACACATGCAACCACCTAACATGGGGGGATGTGTACCCCACCACTGCCCTCTCCCCATGACTCCAACACAACAGGCTCCCTAAGACTCTTGTTACATGGTATATAAGAAGTGGCGTATCTTCACACTGCCTTGAGGAGCTCCAAGGAGCCAGGAGCCACTACTCTAGACTGACAAGGGCCTAGAGTTGAGGATCGGCTCATGGGACATAGTCAAGAGCCTTCCCACCCATTCCCATGGGCTCGTGACCCCAGTGGCAGCCTCTCACACAGGGCTCCTTCTCTACCATGGGAAGAAATTGAGGCTCAGGACCAGGACCACACCACAAGGCAGAGCTGAGAATTATCCCAGTTCTACCCAATTGCTAAAAATTCTTTCCTCATCCATAACATCACTCCTGGTAGGTGTTTCAAAGGGACTGACATGGGGTGAACATCTGGCAGTAGTTGCCAGACACTGGAGGAGGACACATATGAGTCCCAGGGACAAAAACAGATTCACCTTGCAGGGCACAGGCAGGTGGGTGAGTTCAGGCTCACCTGGAGGTACTCGAAGCAGTCTTCCTGGGCTGCAAATGTTCCAGCCAGGCACAGGGAAAAGGAGAGGACCCTGGGGCTCACGTTCTGTGGCTTCAGGTCCAGCACATGGGTCAGCAGATCCACCAGGCAGGGGTTCTCCTGCAGCAACAGTAGGCTGGACCCTGCAGGGGCAGCCCAGCCCAGAGGACGGTCACACTGGTGTCCATGAACCCACCTGACAATAGGGAGATATGCACCTCACCGCTGCACTCTCTCCATGGGACTCTAATAGAGTACTGCATTCCCAAGGTGACCTCAGGCCCCTGTCCCTCAGGGTGCTAGACTCCACAGTCCTACCAGGAAGAATATTTGCAATAAGTGAATCCTGACTTTGACACATGGGGTGGGGGAACTAGAGAAACAACAGCATAGCCCACAGGTAAGGGCCTGGGGAGGTGGGATAGCACCCCACACCCTGAGAAAGCATTTGGTCCCACTGACTACCAAAGTGTAGGCACAGAGGCAACATCCACAATTCTAGCACTGAGCAAGGCTGAAGCAGAAGGATCAAAAGTTAGAGCCCATCCTTAGTGAGACCCTATTCTAAAATAAAAAATAAAAAGAGGATGTGGCTCAGTGCAAAAGACCCAGGTTTGATCCACAGTATCATAACTGATTAATTAATTAAAAGCAACACCTAGGGGCTGGGGAGATGGCTCAGTAGAATAAGCGCTTCCCTGGCAAGCGCAAGGACCTGAGTTCAATCCCCAGTTCCGCAAAAAAAAAAAGAAAGAAAAAAACAACACCATTTTCACCTCATAGAGAGTTACTGTTGTCTTAAATGGACAACAAAGACAGTAGGTAAATTTAGGTATTTATCCCCAGAACACATGACTCAGTTTTCCCACAAGGTGGGAGTGTCCCCAGGGAAGTCTTTATGGGAAGGATGACCGTACAGTGCGGTCAGTCACTGGGAAGACAGTACAGTGAAGGGAAGGGAGTAAGAAACAGAACCAATAAACATGTGCAGGAGCCTAAAGAAGAATAGAGTGAAAACTTAAAACACTAAAAATAAAATCTATGAAAAATAAACAGAGCTGCATGTTCTATTTTTTAATTTAATCTTCTTTCTTTTTTTTTTGAGACAGGGGCATGTTATGCAGTTCAGACTGGCCTCGAACTTGCAATGATCCTGCTAACTCAGCCTCTCAAGTGCTGGGGTCAAAGGCGTGTGCCATCATGCCTGGCTCTGCATGTTCTATTTTTTAAGAACTTAAAAATAAATCATTGTTGAAAGGTTCCAAAATAAGTTTGAAGTTCTAGACAACAGTGATGCAGAAGATCAGGGGATCCAAAGCCAAAGGAGATCCTCAAACATTTTGGGTTGAGAGATTCTAGCCAATTTCAGATTCCTTAAAAAAAAAAGTCTAGTGCAAGTATTAAGTAACAGGGCATAAGGGAACATAAATGGGATATATAACTTCCAAACCAGAAAAGTTAAGGCTGAAAAGAAAGATTTATCCATTTGCCATAGGCAAAAAAGGAGCCAAGATGGAGACCTGGGGGTACAAAGTGAAAGAATGTGGTAAATGAAGTTCAAAGGCAACCTCACACCACATGTGGTGGTGCATGCCTGATACCAGCACTGGAGGGGCTGAGGCAGGAAGATCACAAGTTCAAGCCTTGCTTGGGCAACTTAGCCATTTGGTGAAACCCTATCTCAAAACTAAATTAAAAAAAAAAAAAATGTAAATGGCCAGGGATTTAGCTCAGGGCAAAGGCCCCAGTTTCAAGTTCTAGTATCAGGCAGCTTGCCGGTTAGCTCTGTTGTTTAAAGCACATGCTTGGGCAAACTCAGTCAGGCGCAGAGCACCATGGTTCGATCCCCAGCTCCACAGGCCGCACCAGACCTGCCCTTAAGACAGTATGAGCGCTAGAAAAAAAAAAATCCCCTCAAGTTCCAGTACCAAAAAAAAAAAAAAAAAAAAAGTCAAAAAAACCCGTCTCCATGCTCCATTTAAAAAAAAGGCTGGGGAAATAGCTCAGTGGCATAAGTGCTTTCCTGCCTGGAAAGCACAAAGACCTAAGTTCGATCCCTGGTTCCACATGCTGTGCAGGCCCTGGAACCCCAGGCACTCAGCTGGCCACCAAAACCAGGCATGGTGGTATACGCCTGTAATCCCAGTGCTGGGGAGGCTGAAACGGGAGGATCACTAAAAGCACTAGCTGCATAGTGAGACCCAAATAAATAGATAAACAAAAAATTTAAAAAAGGAGAAAAAAGCCAGTGAGTAGGTGACTGGAAAGGCCTTGGGTTCAAGAGCTAGTTCTAGGGGGAAAATCTTGTAGGATGCACCTCAAGTGATGCTTTTATGGAGATTTATAGCCTTAAATACTGAAACAAGATATATTCAAAAGAGAGCAAAATAGCAGAATAAATCAAAGGAAGAAAAGCATAAATAAATGATGTAGAAGCTATGCAAGGCAATTATCAGGCATGCAAGTAAACATTTAGACTCAAGTGATGTACAAAGAAATCCATTACAGACCTATAAACAACAATGAAATCATGGTCTATTCAGACAGCAAATAACACATAATGGACAAAATCAATGTGTCCCATGAGGAAAGCACCCACTCTAATGGTGAGAAAAAGCAAGACTCTAACTTGTATTTGTGGTATGCCCTCACATTTGTGAGGGAAAACATGGACTTACAGAAAAAAGGCTGGAAGAAAATAAAAATGATGGCGATTTAATTCTCACTTTATTCTTTTGTGTTGAATGTGCTCTCTTGTACGGTTATGCATGCTTATAGTCCTAGCACTCTAGGAGGCTGAGGCAGGAGGAGTGCAAATTCAAGCCCAGTCTGAACAACTTAGTGCCTTAGTGAGACCCTATCTCAAAATAAAAAATGGCCTGGGGATGTAACTCAATATAAAGGTCCTGGATACAATCTCCACCACTGCAAAACAAACACACACCAGAAATACATACGTCTTTCATAATCAGTAAGAAAACAAATGTGACCCAAGACAAACAGTGTGTCTAAGCTCTGCAGCGACCACATGGGGAACTGAATGAAGAATGAGTGAACGGCAGCTCTCCTCTAACAGTTTTAAATTCAGCCCCTCTGGGTCACTCTGTCAGCCTCAGCCTGCTTATCCTCCATCTGCCAGAGTCTCTAAGAAGTGAGGGGAAGAGTCCAGATGCACAGGTCAGTTGTGGGCACTTTGTCCCATGCTCTGCACATATCCTCTGACCTCTGGACAACAGATAAGGGCAGCACCATTGTCCTTACCAGCCTCAGTCACTGTTTTAAACCAGTCCAGCAGCTTCTCCAAACAGGTGTCATCTGCCACTGCCTGGCTGGGATCGGCCAGAACAGCACAGAGAGCAGGAAGCAGGCGGGCGCATTCGGGGTCCATGATGAGGGCAGGGTTTTCTGCATGGGAGACAAGGAAACCTCATTCCTAGTTCCAGACCCCATGTGCCCCCAGATAGCTCACGGTGCATCTACGGAACCTGGGCGTTGGTGCAGTGGGGTGTGGAACACAGCTAAGCGCTGATTTAACTGCAGGTGGGCCAAAGTCAGGAGGCTGGAGTCTGCGGTCTGCTTTCCCGTAAGGTAAGCAGCGGCCGTATTAGACCATTAAGCAGCCAGCACTGGTCCCTCAGAACCGGGCTGTACATCAGTCCCATATCCAACGCAGAAGCGGGGGGAGGGCTTCTGTAGCCTTGCGTGGTTCTGTTCTGAATGGAGCATCCGTGTGCCTGTTTCCAGAAAGGCTATGCCCACGGAAGTGTAGCCCTCCCGCGACTCCGTCTCAGTTCGCGGCTGCAGGCCCGCCCTGCGCCAGGCCCGAGGGTACGCCAGGAGCCAGACGTGCCGGCCGCAGGCCGCGGGGACTGAACCTAGCCCTGCCACACCCCGCCCACGACCAGCCTGCCTGCCTGTCCTCCCGGCCAAGTCTGGGATTCACCCGCCCACGGTAGCCACCAAGACCACCACCCGGGTCGCACTCACTCCTCACCAGGCCGTCCGGCGCGTCCGCCGCAGGTCCCGCCCTACGCCGCCTCAAGCCCCGCCCCGAAGGCTTGCGAAGCCCTGCCCACTCAGAAGGTGCCACCGCCAGGACGGGGGAGGAGGGTAGGGACGTCGAGTGTTGGGAATCGTGACAGTTCACTCTGGCCGCTTCTACAGTTAAGACCTGGACAAAAGAGTTCAAGCTCTGTACAACGGGAAAAAGTGACACCAAACTGGTCGCTGGGACCTATCCCTCCCCACAGGACTCTCAGTGGTACCGCCAACCACAGTAGCGTCCCGGAGGCGGGGCTTCTGGAGGAAGAGGCGGGGCCATAGCATGTGGGCGGGGCCTCCACAGCCCTGCCCCGGGCGGGGGAGCGCAGGCAGGAAGAAGTTGCTTGGTAGGTGAGTGCTTTGGCCTTTGGGTTTAGCATCAAAAAACTAAGCCCTGATCTCTGTGCCATAGGCTCTCAAAACCCACAGATAAACAAGGCTTGTTTTCCTATAGCATGTTTTACAATTTTACAGCCCGACTTGGAGGCAAATACCAATTTTATATAGAAGGCTGAATTTCTGTGGCTATTATGATGGAAATAAAACTTCAATAAGAAACACTTTGCACTCCCTTCCCTGACTGTGGAGCCGTCTCCCAGGCAGATTGAAAAGGACTGTAATGCAGACAACTCCCCTGAACTTTGATTAATGGTAAAATGAGATGGTAGCGAATGCTAATATTAACCTGATTGGGTGGCTATGGAGAAATTAAAACAAAATAACTCTGCTGAACGCTGAACTTCAAATATATGTAAGTGATTCTAGAGCAGCTCTGGGAGGGTGGTGCCATTCCTATCCCCTAGATGAGGAAACAGGCACAAAGCTCACTGATGTAAGCTCATAGCTACTGAGATGGCACAGCTTGGCTTGGAACAGTCACCACAGTTATGAATACTATATAATACTATACTGGTCCACAATTTTTTATCTGAAACTTTGAGGATCTCTGGCATCATCCAAAACTCTAAATTTTTCAGAGTTTAGGCATTACATTATATACACACAACAAATAGGTTACACCCCAGCAGTGTCTGACGCAGCATCCCTTCATCAAATGCATTAATAGTTCTACAGTGAAACCAAAGGGAGTAAGTAAACACCACAAATAGATGGAATGCTGAGTTCTTCCTCTAGGAGTTAAGGTTAAGACAGGTTGTGCCATCAAACTACGATAGAAGAAATAATAGGCAAAAATAGGCAAGGAAATCATAACTAAAAATTGTACTTTTCAGAAGAGTGCAATTTGGGGCCTCAGTTGAAGTTACCTAAAACAATCCACATCCACATTCCCTCTGTTAAATTTAGGCTCCTTTCCTACCAGAACCATCATGCCCAAAGTTTCTCAGGAATAGACAGTGCATAAATAATTGGCTTAATTTCAAAAGAGCAGAACCATGATCTAAGAGGCTGAGAAAATCTAAAGAATGTTTAAATTATCTTTCTTTTTTAAGCGGGGCTTTTTTATACCTGTAAAATAGGCTTCTACCCTTAGGGGGACCTTTCCTCAGTAGATGCAGATGTTCCCTTTTTCAGGAAATAAAGGCTTCCCTCTTGAGGGCCTACACTTTTTTCTTTGAGCCTATAGATTGTGATACACATGATATATGTATTTATATCTATATCTATATATCTATATATCGATATATAGATATAGATATACATAGATATATAGAGATATATCCATACATAGCTCTCTCTCTATATATATAGATATATAGATTTTTTTTTTCAGAACCGGGGATTGAACTCAGGCCCTTGCACTTGCCAGGCAAGCACTTGTTCAACTGAGCTATCTTCCCGGCGCCCTAGATTTTGATATATTTCTAATAAAACCTTTCCCGTGCCTATGACTAGTCCTGAAAATGTACACGAAGGGAGTCAGAGACCCGCCAAACTTATCCTACAAAACAGGTGGGTTACCTCAGTTTCAGGAACCGCCTTGGACCCTGTCTAGTGACAAAATGAACTGTGAAATGTTTTCAGAAGTTTTTAAAACTCAGAATTACAGTGCTAGGTGTGATGATGCAAACCTGTAATCCCAGCACTCGAGGCCAACCTAGACTACATAGCGAGTCTGTCTCAAAAAAAAAAAAAAAATCACAGGTAGACACTGTCTTCATAATTAAGAGAAAGACAGCGAAGCTGGGGGGGGCGAGAAAACAAGTTTTTAAGCAAGTGAGTGTCCCGGTCAGATTTGTCCTTTCTAAACAACTCTGGCAAGAGATTTTTTTTTTCCTTTTAGAATGAATCAGAGGTCTAAATAAGAAATTTAGGACTAAATTCTACCTGGCACCGCGGTGGAGGACTAAGACACTACGCAAACTGTCAGCGCAGCAACTTCCGGGTCAACCCCCCCCACCCCCGTCCCTGCATGTCCCCGCCTCCGCGCAGGCTTGATCCTACTCCGCGCATGCGTAAATAGGACGGGCGAGAGAGGCGGGGCTACGTCGGAGGGGGCGCGGCGTGGTTGCCATGGCAGCGAGGAGTCTAGCGCCCCAGCTCCCGGCTGTCTAGCTGGCTGTGGACCTAGACCACCGAGCCCCGCGCTGGGGCGGCTGGGCAGCGGCCATGAGTCTGGGAACGGCCTCGGAGACGGTAGGGTGTCCGGGTCTCCCTCGAGCTCCAAGGGCAGGGACGGGGGCGGGGGCGGAGGACAGGAAGCTTGCGGGGGCAGGAGGCTGGGATACAGCCGCTGCGGCCTGATTATTACCGCACAAGGCCCCCAGCGTGTCAGCCGCCGTCGCGCTCCAGCCTCCAGTTCCCGCCTGCGCTCGCGGAGCCGCCGCTTCCTGGGAGCCCTCTGGGACTGCGTCTCTAGCTCACCTGCTGCTGTGTCCCGTCGGTGAGGCGCGAGGGACCCTGCTAGATATTGGGGGACTCTCGGAGGCAGCGTGCCGCTCCGTTCCCCATCAGGGCCGCAGGCACACAGCAGAGCGCGCGCCTTTGCAGAGCTAAGGCCTCCAGCGTTATGGAGACCAAATGGAAATGAGCCACGTTCCAGCGGGGGAGGGCAAAGCAACGGGGAAGGGGGTAATAAGTGCTTGGCAGAAATGGAATGTGACCCGGGAGGGCTGCTGTAGATCTGGAGCCCGGACAACCCTTTTGAGACATTGCTCCCCACAAACACCAAAGACTATAGGCTGGGAAAGGCCTGGCTGGGGTGTGGAAGAAGCAGATGCAAAGGCCCTGGCACGGAACTGTGTGAAACGCTCCAGCAGTTTAAGGGAAGGCGGACGTGGGCCTGGTAACAGAAGCACCTTGAGTTTCTTTTTTCTTGAGGGTGCAAGGGAAGCCAGTGGAATGTTACACACCGGCCACAGGGCTCAAAGGGCTGTGCTGAGCCCACCTAGGGTGGGGCTCTGTGCTGCTGGCCAACTTGGAGCAGCCGCAGTCAGTACTGCTCCCTCAGGACACCCAACTCCCATCTCTTCTGCAGGACCTGTCTGTCTGTACCTGCCCTGACTTACTGCCCCTATACCCACCTCCCCTTCTCCCCAACCAAAGCCAGCGCCTTGGGGATTGTAAGCAATTGAGCTTCTCCAGCACTTCTACTATAAGAAAATTTGCGTTCTGATAATGAAAGTAGTTCATACTCATTGTAGAAAATTAGAAAAATTATCCATAATCTGGCTACTTTCCGAAATCAGTTCACATTTGCTGTATTTCCTTCTAATATCTTTCTGTGTATCTTTTCCCATACATTTTTACAAACCAAGATCATATGTATATTGATCTTGTAAACTTTGCCATTTACTTTTATGTTAGTACTTTTCATATCTACATTATCGTTAAAAAGTGATTTTAAGAATTCTAACCCTATTTTATATATTTTTTTCTCTGCTTTTACTCTTTTGGAATATTTTTTTTTCTCTTAGAAACAGTGTTGCTGTAATTTTTTGTGAGTATGTAATATGTATGTCAGGCCCTGTCCTAAGTTCTGAGGACACAAAAACAACTTAGGCCCTGATGCCTTGGTCTCTAAGGATCCAGTCCCGTGGAAGACTCAGCCTTGCCTGTGGTTCTTTTGCTGAGCTTAGATCTGTTTCCTTAAACCCAAAAGAACCATTTGAGGGCAGAGATTGCCAGGTCCGTCTGTTTCCCAGCCTGGGAGCTGTAAGCATGCTGGTCAGACCTTGGGAGCCCCTCCAGAGTGCAGGGTGCTCATTCGCCTGGCTGCAAGCAGCTGGGAGACTACAGTGCACTGAGGGCCAGAGGGCAGGATCGCTGGTGGTTGGCCATACTTGTGAAGGGATTCGTGGTATCCAAGAAGGATGAGCAGAGCTCTCCTGGGCTTTTGTGTCTGTCTGACTCTGCCTTGATTTCCAGATCCTCCTCTTTGGTTTTGATCTGATCGCATGTCACGTGATATGTTCAGAAGCCTTGGCATCTGCCATCCACACCAGGAAAGCTGGCAAAGGTCCTGTTTTCTTGGAGTATAGGCAGATCCTTGGCTCACAGTCATGCCTGCAGACTCTGATTCACTGTGAACACCATCAGCTGTCTGTGTTTTCCCTTTCACAAACTCCAGCAGATAAGAGTTCTTAGAAGCTGAGGCCTAAAGCTGAGGAATGAACCCGGGTGAGCAAGAGGCAGGCCTGTCGGGCTTGACCTCCCAGGAAATGTTACTGCTGTCCTCTGCAAGTTAGAGAGTATTGGCGATGTACACCCCTCCCCCACCTACATGAAATTGAGATTTCCAGATTGACCCATGACTGTCAGTCTCCTGTTTCATGCACATACTGTGTTTGTTTATTACTGCTCTGAGGAACGACTGTTTGGCAGCAGAGCGTAAGTAGTTACCAGTTTTCACGCAGTGTGGGTAGCCGGGCACCACTGGCTGCTGTAACTTGAAGTTTTCTTTTAACATGTGAGCCTTTCTTTCATTGGAAATTATTTTGGTACCAGATGAAAGGTAAGCAAACTCCCACCACAGCCAGTTATCTTAACTTCATGTAGAGCAACTCACTATTATTATTATTATTATTATCATTAATAACTTTGGTACCAGGACTTGAACTCACATGTTCAGTCTTGCCAGGCAGGCATTGTGCCACTGAGCTAAATCTCCAGCTTGAGCAACTCATTATTTTTCTAAAACATCTTTGAAATTTTTCTCATGGCTGGACTTGAAATCCAGAGGTTCACATGTGGTAGATAGGTACTCTGCCACTGAGCTACATTCCCAGATGTAATACGTCTTTTATTGAAATATGACTCTCATGCAATAAAATTGACTCATTTAAAGGGTGCAGCTCAGTAGCTTTAGTACAGTCATAGAACATCTTTTCATATATTAATCATTTTTATATCTTTTTTTGGAAAATATTCAGATTTTTTGCCCATTTTAAAAATGGGGTTGTGGGCTAGGGATAAGCTCAGTGATAGAGTACTTGCTTAGCATGTAGAAGGCCTGGTCTCCTTCACACTGAAAATAAATTGGATTTTCTTTTTCTTGAGTTGTGGGGGGCTGTTTAAAGCACCTGCTTGGGCAAACTCAGGCACAGGGGACTGAGGTTTGATCCCTAGCTCCACAAACCGCACCAGACCTGTCCTTAAGGCAGCTTGAGTGAGGAAAAAAAAAAACAAAAAACTTTCTTCTTCTTGAGTTGTAATCATAAGAGTTCTTTATATATTCTGCATACTAACCTGTTACCAGATATATCATTTGCAAATAATTTCTGCCATTCTATGGCTTGTCTTTTACTTTCTTGCTGATCTCATATCTTAGTTACTTTCTTATTGTCAGGACAAAAATACCTGACACCCACAAATTAAAAGAGGAAGAGTTTATTTCAGCACACATTTTGTAGTGGTATCAGTTCATAGTTAGCTGGCTCCAGTGGAGGGAACATAGCAGAAGAGAAAGATCTCATGGTGAGGCAGGAAGGAAGCAATGTGACTTCTTTCTTCTTTCCCTTTTTCTTCCATACAAACTGCAAGCCTATTGGTTGGTGCCACCCACACCCCGGAGTGGGGGTCTCTCTTCAGTAGACCCATCACTCACATCTAGAGCTATGTTAAACCAATCAGCAGGCTAATCTAGTATCACACCCATTATCTGGTCATTCCCAAAAGCTCCACCAATGAGAGTATGAGGCTTTGGGGGAGCATCTAGGTGTAAGCCATAACACCTCATTTATTGGGTTCTGTAGTAAATTGGTATTCTTTATAAAACAAAAAGCTTTTGTATAATATAGCTTTGATACAGTTTAACTTTTTCATTCCTTTTTTTCTCTCTCCATATATGTATATGTATATATATATAGAGAGAGAGAGAGAGACAGACAGACAGACAGACAGACACAGACACAGACACAGACACAGACACAGACACAGACACAGACACAAACAGACAGGATCTCACTATGTGTAGTTCACACTGGCTTTAAACCCACTATGTAGTCTAGGCAGGCCTTGAACTTGCAATAATCTTCCTGCCTCAGCCTCTTGAGTGCTGGGATTATAAACATGTACCCAGCTTCTTTTACTCTAAAAGAGTTACAGTGATGCCTCGATTTAAGAACTTGAATCATGCAAAGAATTAACTTCATGAACCAAGGCACCACTGTATATCTAAGAAATCATTCCCTGATCCAGGCTCATAGACATTTGTATGTTTTCTGCTACGAGTTTTATGGTTCTAGGTCTTACATTTAATCTGTGATGCATTTTGAGTAATTTCTTTTGTGTATACTATAGGGGAGAGATTATTTTCCTTTGTACCGGTGATGGAACTCAGGCCTTTGCAGTTGGTTGCCAGGCAGGCACTTGTGCCACAGAGGTGTATCCCCACCCATGAAAGATTCTTCTGCATGTGGCTGTCTGCTGTCACAGCGCTGAGTATCCAGCACTACTCTTCTTTCCCCTATGCATAGTGTTGGCACCTTTTTTAAAAGTCAACTGACTATAAATATAAGATTTTTATTTCTATACTCGGTTTTATTCCAATAGCCTGTGCGTTCTTACGCCAGTATCATTCAATTTTGTCGTAAGTTTCAAAATAGGAAGTATGAGTCCTAAAATTGATCTTATAAAAGATCAATTTTTGCTGTTCTACATCTCTTGCATTTCCATATGAGTTTTATGGGCTGCTTATCAATTTCTTTTTTTGTTTGGTTCTTTTGTTGTTGGGGGGGGTCTCACTGTGTTGCTTAGGCTGATCTCAGACTTGTGAGTAGAAGTGATCCTCCCATCTCAGCCTCCTGGGTAGCTAGGACTAAAGGTATGTACCACTGTGCCTGATTTCCCTTGTGTATTCTAACTTCTTTTTTTTTTTTTTTTATTTTTTTTTTTATATTTTTTTTGTGTGTGTGGCCAGCTCAGCCCACCAGGGGCGGGGCTGGCTGGCATGTGGTGCTGGGGCATTGAACCGCGGTCCCTGTGCTTTGCTAAGCTTGTTCTAAGTAGGTGCTTTAGACCACTGAGCCATCTCACCAGCCCCTCCCTTGTATATTCTAAAAGAAACCCTAAAACTTGATAAGGGCAGTGCCCAATCTTTATATCAATTTGGGCAGTATTGCCATCTTAAAATAGTAACCAGCCTTTTTTAAATCCATCAGCCTGGGATATCTTTCCACTTGTGTGGCTCTTTAATTTCTTTCAACAATTTTTTGTATTTTCCAATGTATGAAACTTTTTCTTCTTCTCTTTTTGGTTTTGGCAAACTGAATCCAGGGACTTGTGGAGGGTTTTTTGGTACCAGGGATTGAACTTAGGACCCTGTACTTGCTACGCAGGTGCTTATGCCACTGAGCTATCTGCCCAGCCCTAACTTATGTTTTTTTTTTTTTAATTTATATGGTGATTGTACATATTTATGGGGTGCTGCATGATATTTTGACACATATATAATGATCAAAACACAGTACTAGCATACCCAGAACTTCATACATTTTATCATTCCCTTGTATTTCGAAAATTTAAATTTCTCTTTTGCTCCTGTTTTGAGATGGATAGTAAATTATTGTTAATTGTAGTTTTTCCTGCTGTACTACAGTAGAACTTAATCCTTCTGTCTAATTGTATTTTTCCATCTTAACTAACCTTTCTGTACCCAGCCCTGGGTAGCCACTAACCTACTTTCTGCTCCTGTGAAATCAACTTTTTAGCCTCTACATATGAGTAAGAATGGACAGCATCTGTCTTCTCATGCCTGGCCTATTGTGCTTTACATAATGTCCTCCACAATGACAAGATTTCATTCTTTTTTATGACTGAAAATATCCCATTGTGTATTTTTAGCTCATTGTCTTTATCCTGTGGATGGAATTTTCTTAATTTCATTCTAGTTTTTTCATTGGCAATGTATATGACTACAATTAATATATATATGACTGTTGTTTGTTACAAACTTGCTGAACTCATTTATTGGCCCTGCCCCCAGTATTGGGGATCAAACCTCAGAGTCTTCACACTGAGCTGTATCCCCAGACCTTTTGTAATTTTGAGATAGGATCTCATTAATTTGCCCAGATTGAGTTCAATCTCACAAATCCCCCAGCCTCAGCCTCTCAGAGTGCTGGGATTATAGGTATATGACACTATACATTGACATGGAATAGCTTTCCATTTGTGTAGCTCTTTAACTTTTTTCAGCAATGTTTTGTATTTTCCAATGTATAAAATGTATTTTGATAGTTTTTTAGTAGCTTCCCTAAGATTCTCTATATATTAAGACCATGTTGTCTGAGAACATTTGTTTTTCTTGGATCATGCTGGCTAGAAGGACCAGTGTAGGTTGAATTAAAGTAATGAGAAAAGATATTGTTGTCTTCTTCTTTCATATAAGGGGAAAATAGTCATTCTCCTTTAAGTATGATATTGCTGCAGGTTTTTTAAAAAAATGTATTTAGTACAGGGTCTATAGGGTCTTACTATGTAGATCAGACTTGCAGTGATCCTCCTGTTTTCAGCCTCCCAAGCACTGAGATTATAGGCGTGTGCCATCACACCCAGTCCCAATCACTATCTCAGTGCACCCCGGGGGTGGGGCTGGCACTGCACACCGGGGATCAAACCCCGGCTGCTGCACTCTGCCTAAGCAGGCGCTTTAGTCCACTGAGCTATCTATCTGGCCCCTAAGTGCTGAGTTTTTATAGATGCCATAGGTGAGAAAATTCTCTTCATAGTTCTTTCAGTATTTTCATCATGAATGCGTATTGAGTTTTATTAAATTAATTTTCTACAACTTCTGAGATAATGATATATGCTTTTGTCTTTTTTGAGATAATACTTTTTAATCATTGTCTTTTTAGGTGGTGTTTTATATTGATTTTGATATGTTAAACCAACCTTTCATTCATTTGGGGGATAAATCATAGTCATGATATATGATCTCCTATTGGTAGAATTCTTTTTATATGTTGCCAAATCCCATTTGCTCGTGTTTTGTTAAGGGATGTATATATGTATTTAAAAAGGATTATTGATCTGTACTTTTCCTTTTTTGCAGTTTCTTTATCTGGTTTGATATCAGAGCTGGCTTCATATAGTGATTTGGAAGGTTTTCCCTACTTTTCTCATTTTTAGAAGAATTTGTGAAGGATTTACCTTTAAGTATTTAATGGTTTTCACTGGTAGGACTGCGTGGCCCTGGGTCTTTATTTCTGTGTAGTCGATATTATTGTTTCCTCTTATTATATATTTTGGTAGTTTAATACCTTTTTTTTTTTTTTTGTACCAGGAATCAAACTCAGGACCTTGTGTTTGCCACACAGGCATTGTACCCTGAGAAATATCCCCAGCCCTGTATTTAATTTAGTGTCCTATTTCTTTCCAGTCCATCTGCATAAATGTTTGTCAATTTTATTGATCTTCTGTTAATCAAGAACCAATTTTGGGTTTTATTGATGTTTTTTCCAACTCTTTTAGTCTCTAACCTTTATTACTTTTTCATTCTTGCTGTGGATTTCCTTTTTTCTTTCTATTTCCCTAAGGTAGAAAATTTTCCACCTGAAATCTTTTCAGGTAGGTGTTTACAACTGCAAACGGCCCCTCCAGACACATCTTTCATCCCAAGGGGGAAGGTGAGGTTGTTGACCTGACATGACATCTGAAATGGGACATTTACAGCTATGTGCTTCCCTTTAGGCCCACTTTTCCAGTTTACCTCCTTGGTTGTTTAGGAATGTATTGTTTAATTATAACATTTGTGAATTTGTTTTTTCTCCTGTCACCTTCTCCTTTCCACTATGGTCAGAGAACATATATTGGCGTGGTTTCTAATGCAGCGATTCTGTCTCTTGAGTCTTGTTTTATGGCCTATCATATGGTTTGTGTTTAATGTGCACTTTAGAAGCCTTGTATTCTGCTATTACTATATAGAGTGTTCTTTGAATGTCTATGGCTTTATAGTGTTTTTCAAGTATTTTAATTCCTTATAGTTTTTTGTTGGTGCTGTTGCTTGTTTTTGCAGTAACAGATTGAACCCAGGGACTTCACATCACACAGTGAGCTTTTTTTTTTTTTTTTTTTTTTTAATTTTATTTGTGTGTGTGTGTGTGTGTGTGTGGCCAGCTCAGCCCACCAGGGGGCGGGGCTGACTGGCATGTGGTGCTGGGGGATTGAACCCCGGTCCCTGTGCTTTGCTAAGCTTGTTCTAAGTAGGTACTTTAGACCACTGAGCCATCTCACCAGCCCCCCACACAGTGACCTTTAGTCTCTGTTCTTTTTTATTTTATTTTTTATTTTTTGACTTTTCTATTTTTTTTATTAACAAGCAAAATAATTAAAAACAAAACCACAACAACCTTAAAGTTGAAACAGCAGTAGGTCAAATTGCTGCTGGAGTTCAGATGTACCTGGGTTTCATGCTGTCTCACTGTGAAGCAGGAAACAGGCACATGACTGTGCACTTAGGTATATATGTGACCAAGAACAATCTGAAATGGAAACCACCAGAGAAGAGACGGCATGAAGAATTTTTCATCACGCAATCCCAAAGCACTCTGCTCTTTTCCTTTTCTTTGCCTCTGTATCCTCTGTGGTTCCAGTTCCTGCTGAACTTGTGACAATCCCAAATCACTCCTTCCTCTTTTTCAGCTTCTCATCATCTTCAGACTTTCTAGAGATTGAAGAGACATTCAAACCAAATCTTTGTGCTCTTTCTTTTAGCTTATCCAGGTTAGCCATAGGCTTGGTGGCAGATGACCGGCCTTTTGTTGGAACTGAGGAAATGCCAAACCTGGCTGCCCGAGCAGCCTTCTTGCTTTCCAAGCTTGCAGGTACATTGAATCATTCAGCCCTCTTTTGCGCTCTCTCAGTCTGTGGCATCTCAGATGTAATTTTTACCACTTTTTTCTCTGATACCACATCAACTTTTTTCAGGAGGTTCTTCTTTGACGGGCAGTTCTACAGGCTTTGGTTCTTCTTCCTCTGTTTCATCTCCCAGTACATCTTCTTCATTTGCCTCCTCTTCGGCATGCTCTTCAAAATATGCCTGGAGCCTGTTGATGAGATCTTGTTTTATTCCTTTGGTCACTAAACCACATGCAAGACATTCTTGCTTTAGTTCGGCAAGCTTCAGTTTAAGAAGCTCCACCGTCTCCGTCGCCATCTTGTTATCCCGCCCTCTTTTTTATTTTTTTAAGACAAGGTCTTAACTAAGGTCACTACGTGGGGAAGGACATCCCTAAGTTCTCGGCTGAGCTGAAACTTGCAATCTTCTTGCCTTAACCTCCCAGAGTGCTGGAATTAACAAGTTTTGCCACCAGACCTGACTTTCACCTGGTGTTTTCATAATTTCCACTGTTAATGGTCCCTGCCTAAGACATATTGCCACTTAATTAGTTAGGCACGGCCTTCTGTGGTTCTCTGAACACCTCAATGGCCACTGCTCTGCCTTCTTGTCTACACCCTCTGCCATAGCAGTGTGGCTCCCAATAAGAGCCTAGTCCTAACCACCAGTGTGTTGAGTCACTACTCTGAGTTTTAAACGTGTTCTACTGTCACTTTTTAGTTTCCACCCGAGTTAATACAGGCACCTTCCTCTCTTTGAAAAATGGCCTTCATCCCTGGAGCCTAGCCCTGGTGTCAGACAGTGGGGCTTTCCTTGTATGCCCTCTGCCAGGGCAGAGTCACTGCAATAAGAAGGTAGGAAGCTTTGTAAGCCCGGTATCTTCTCATAGACTAATACACGTGCTAATAAGGAGTCAGTTCTTTTCTTTCTTTCTTTTTTTTTCTATGCTGGGGCTGGAACCTAGCCCCCAAGCCCATGGAGTATGTTTTCTAAAATATGATTGGCCCATTCTTAAGGAGACACAGATTCACCAGGCTACAATGTAAAGATGACTAAGTGGCAGAATGTTGAAGTAGGGTGCGCAGTGAAGTGCTTTTGCCTAGAGCTCGCTTTTTATGGAAGGCACTCTGCACTTCTACAGGACCCTGGTTTGAGACAGGAGCCCCACCGGGGGCCTTGCTGTTCATTTCCTCCTCTCCTCCCCCAGAGAGCCTGAGCTATCTGGGGATTCCTGTGTGGGGAGCCCACTGGGTTCTGTTTCAGCCTTGCTCAGGCTGTTGGAAACTTAGCAGTGCCTTATGGTGACAGTGTTTCATCTCTTCCTGCAGGGAGATGACAGTCTGTCTGCAATCACCTTTGACTCTGACTTGGAGCCGGTGAGTAATGAAGGAGCCCACAGTTCCCACTGAATGCTGCTTGGTGTTGGAAAGTTTTAGTCCCTTAGATAGATTTGAACATTTGCGATTAGAATTTTAAAACTTTTTTCCAAAGAGAAATCGTGAGCAAGGTTCATGGGGGCAGATGACTAGTTCTGTCCTGCGACTGGTGTTGGCCTGCACCCTGTCCCCAGACCTGACATGGGAGGGAAGAGGGATGGGAGAGAGATGTGGGTGGGCCCTGGTAGCAGTTCTGGGGGTGCTGGGAGCTGACCAGGAGGTCTGGTAGAAAGCTAGGGGTCTCCAGGCTGGCCCTTTTAGGGGGGCTGCAAGCTGTGCTAGGTGCCAAAGGATGCCAGCCAATTGCTTTCTCAGTGAACAAGTGGGAAAAAATGGGTCTCACTGTAGACTTAGCACCTGCACAACTCAACTATACCTTGGGCACCCCCGTTCCCCTCTCTAGGGTGGGACCTCTGTCTGCTAGGCGACCCCAGTCCCTGGACTACCTGCAAATGAGCACAGAGCTCAATGAGCTCAGCTCTCCCTCGCCCTCTTTGTGAGCACAGCAGGGCTTCATGCTGGGGATAGAGTGGGACATGTGGGGAAGGAAGCTCTGCCTGCCCCTCACATCCCTTCTTCTTCCCTCCAGAAGACAAAACGGAAAGGTTCCCACAGACCTCCTCCCACATCACCAAGTAAGTACAGTCAGGTCTCCCATCCTCTCTGATGTCTACACATTCATCCTGGAGAGTTTCCAAAAGCTGTCCTTTTCTGCTGTTGTGGAGCCAGTGAATGCCTCTTCTTCCAGGGCAGGTGGAGTCGGTGGGACATGGTGGCAGCAGGACTTCCATTTGCCCTGTCCAAGGGCACTCTCAGCCTACCCTGAAGCAAGGCTCCTGAATAGGGTCCAGCCACTGACCTGCCTAGCCTCCCACAAGATTCAGGGCTTAGTGACCTGTCTGGGGCCCTTGCTATGGGCGTTCCGAGTCCGGCTTTCTGTTCTTTTTGGGATCTCCCAGGTTCATTCTTCTGCCATAATTCTTCTCTTCTACATCCTCAGCAGGATGAGAGAAGCTTCGTCCTACTCTTGGATGACCTAGGACGCAGCATCTATGGGAGAAGGCTGCAGAGATGGAAGTTGGCCCAGGTGCCAGCAAGGCCTCCTGATCCATCTCTGCTGTCACCTTGTTCTGAGCACAGCCAGCCTCAGCTGCATGAATGTGTTTATGGCAGCATGAAATCCTAGACTGGCTTCCTTTTGCTCTCAAGAACCTGGCCTTCCCCGACCTTGCCCTCTGTATGTATGTGTATGTATTTTACGTGCATGTCAGGTTCTCCAGACATACTCACTGTGTACATGATCCTTGGAGAGAATACAAATGAGCTGTCTTACTGACACAGCACATACTCAGCTGTGAAGATTACATGATATGTATTATGAATAATATACATTTCTGAAAGAAACCAGGGGCCAGGGCTGTAGCTCAGAGTAGCATACTTGCCCAGCACACACCAGGCCCTTGGTTCAGTCCGAGTAGGCAAAAGAATAAAGGGAAAAGGAAAATTTAAGTTCTTAATGAATGCCAAGCATTCCAAGTGTTGGGCATCAATAATCAAGTTATTTTCCTTTTGAATTTGGTAAACATAAAATTGTTTTTCCTGGGATTCAGACCAGTCAGAATCCCATTGAGCCTGAGCAATGTCAGGGCTGCCCTTGACCCTCAGTGCTCCCTTCCCAGCTCTCTCCCCACAGCCCAGGTGCCTGCCCCACTAAGACCCACGCCCCTTCCTGCAACCCCCTGCAGCTCCTCAGCCCTTCATAACAATGGCCACATCTCAGTGCACCACCCCTGGCTCCCAGCCCTGTCACAGCCTCTTGAAACTTGCTCAGGATCTGTTTTTTCTGTCTGGATGTCAAGTGTGGGGACATCAGGGCCAACATCTGTCCTGTTTACTCAACAGTTGTCTTGAATGCCTGCTTAGTTTGCACAGAGGTTTGCACTCTCCAGAGTTCTAAAGCTCACTGTGCTCCCGGCTGCCCTGGGCATCCTGCTTTTCCTGTTGGATTCTTCAGGCAGCATCAAACACCAGTGTGTCTCCATTGTCATGTTTGCATTTTCCTTCTTTGCGCTGGCTTTTCTCCATCCACACACATACATGTTTTCCTGAGGAATCCTCCCACCTCACTGATAAGTTCATATACATGATGAGAAGTGTGATTTATGGGCTCTTCCTTCCACACTGGAGATTGGACCCAGGGCCTTTGCATGAGCTAGTTTATTTTGAGGCAGAGTCTTGCTAAGTTGCCAAGCTAGGCTCCAACTTGTGACCCTCCTACCTCAACCTCCCAGAGTGCTGGGACGACAGATGTGCGCCATCACACCCAGCTCATGGTCTCTTTCTCTGATCACTGATTTACTTTTTTTTTTTTTT